TGTCAGAGAACTGGTTTCGGCCGATCCCCGCAGGCCAGGCTGAGGAACCCCACCTGCTAGAGGGACCCAGTGCACTCTGCACACACCTTTAGAGCCCTGTGCTGCCAGCAGGGAGGGATGGCAGGAGGTTGGCTCCATGGCCTGTCTAACCTTCTTCCCCAATCCCACCCCACTGGCCATCCTCTAATTAATTTCCTTTTAAAAATATATATATTTTATTGATTTTTTTAATAGAGAGGAAGGGAGAGAAAGTTAGAAACATCGATGAGCTGAAACCAGTTTGGCTCAGTGGATAAAGCATCAGTCTGCGGACTGAAAGGTCCCAGGTTCGATTCCGGTCGAGGACATGTACATTGGTTGCAAGCACATCCCCGGTAGGGGGTGTGCAAGAGGCAGCTGGTCGATGTTCTTCTCTCATTGACGTTTCTAGCTCTCTATCTCTCTCCCTTCCTCTCTATAAAAAATCAATAAAATATATTTTAAAAAAAAAAGAAAAGAAAAAAGAAACATTGATGAGAGAGAGAGAGAGTCATCGATCAGCTGCCTCTTGAATGCCCACACTGGGGATGTGCCCGCAACCAAGGTACATGCCCTTGACTGGAATCGAACCCGGGACCCTTCAGTCCGCAGGCTGACGCTCTATCCACTGAGCCAAACTGGACTCGGCTAATTAATTTCCTTTTAATGTGCATGAATCTATGCACCAGGGCACTAGTTGTAAATAACGGTGAAGGCCTGGGATGGGGCTGAACTGGATGGAAACGGAAAAATGGGGGACATCTGTAATATTGTCAACAACAAACAAACAATAAAAATACTTACACTGGTCATTCAAGTCCTTGTCATTTTACTTTTAAAAATGATACCTGCCCTAACTGGTTTGGCTCAGTGGATAGAGTGTCAGCCTGCGGACTCAAGGGTCCCAGGTTCGATTCCAGTCAAAGGCATATACCTTGGTTGCGGGCACATACCCACCAGGGGGTGTGCAAGAGGCAACTGAATCAATGTTTCTCTTTCATCAATGTTTCTAACTCTCTATCCCTCTCCTTTCCTCTCTGTGAAAAATCAATATATGTTAAAAAAAAATGATACCTGTAGTGGGGGTGGGCAACTGTGCATCTTTTTTCAAAAAAATATTTTGCTTGATTTCAAAGAGAAAGGGAGAGAGAGATAGAAACATCAATGATGATAATCACACCCCACACTTGGATTAAGCCCAAACCCGGGCATGTGCCCTGACTGGGAATTGAACTGTGACCACTGAGCCAAGCTGGCTGGACCATCTGTGCATCTTGTTCCTTTAGTGCAAATGACTTTAGGATTTCACCATTTAAAGTGGCATTTGCTGTGGTTTGGTGGTTAGCCTTACCATCTTTAATACTATTCTATTTTTATAAGTTGTTATTAGAAACAGCCATTGCAGCCCTAGCCAGTTTGGCTCACCTAATAGAACGTCTGCCAGCAGAATGAAGGGTCCAGGGTATATACCTTGGCTCTGGTCGGGGTGCATGCAGGAGGCAACCAATCAATTTGTGTCTCACATCAATGTTTCTTTCTGTCTTTTCCTCTCCCATCCACGCTCCCTAAAAATAATGGGAAAATATCCTCAAGTGAGAATTACCGCCCCCCGAATAAAAGAGAGAGAAAAAAAATAGCCATTGCATTTGATAAGTATTTTTTAAAATAGTTTTCCACTGATTTTTAAATATATATATATTTTATTGATTTTTTACAGAGAGAAAGAGGGATAGAAAGCTAGAAACATTGATGAGAGAGAGACATCGATCAGCTGCCTCTTGCACACCTCCTACTGGGGATATGCCCGCAACCAAGGTACATGCCCTTGACCGGAATCGAACCCGGGACCCTTCAGTCCCCAAGCTGATGCTCTATCCATTGAGCCAAACAGGTCTCGGCTGATAAATATTTTTTTAAATTGATTTCAGAGAGGAAAGGAGAGAGAAAGAGAGATAGAAACATCAATGATGAAAAAGAATCACTGAGCCGAGACCTGTTTGGCTCAATGGATAGAGCGTCGGCTTGGGGACTGAAAGGTCCCAGGTTCGATTCCGGTCAAGGGCATGTACCTTGGTTGCGGGCATACCCGCTGTAGGGGGTGTGCAAGAGGCAGCTGATTGATGACTTTCTCTCATCGATGTTTCTAACTCTCCATCTCTCTCCCTTCCTCTCTGTACAAAATCAATTAAATATATAAAAAAAGAAGAAAATAAAAAAGAATCATTGACTGGCTGCCTTCTGCACATCCCCTCCTTGGGAGCGTGGGGGGTATTTGAGTCCGCAACACAGGCATGTGCTCTTGGCTGGAATCAAACCTGGGACCCTTTAGTCCCCAGGCCGTTTTATCCACTGAGCCAAACCAAAAGGGCGATAAAACACCTTTTTGACATTTTTTTGAAAAATCATAGGCTGTCTTTTAAATTTCTAGATATAATGAATTACCTTGGTGATTTATACATGCTTGCCTATAGTATTCTTTTGATAACTGGTCATTTTTTTTTAAAGAACATTTGTATTTTACCCACGAGTTTTTGTTTGTTTTTTTTAAAATATATTTTATTGATTTTTTACAGAGAGGAAGAGAGAGGGATAGAGTTAGAAACATCGATGAGAGAGAATCATCGACCAGCTGCCTCTTGCACACTCCCTACTGGGGATGTGCCCGCAACCAAGGTATATGCCCTTGACCGGAACTGAACCTGGGACCTTTCAGTCCACAGGCCAATGCTCTACCCACTGAGCCAAACCGGTTTCGGCTGTATTTTACCCATGAGTTTTAATTTTCACAATCCACACAAACCCACATGATTATCTCTAAGGCCTATTTTTGTCCCTTCCCAGCCACCCATGTTTTGAGGGAGAGAGAACACCAACTGGTCCTACTTACCCATTCATTGGTTGCTGCTTCTATGGGCCTAAATAAGGGATGGCATCTACAAATTTGTGATATCAGGGATGACACTAACCAACTGAGCAGCCTGGCGAGGGCCTATACTGATTTCTAATCGCAGAGCTTAACTTCTGTTCCCTTTTCTTTTCTATAGTTAGAATAACCAATTTGTTTTCTTTCACTCAAAATAATGTATGTGAGATACACATATATCACTGAGCTCATTTTTTTTCTAGCTGTGTTGAATGTGGTACACTGATTTACAAATAAGTCAGTAATTATATTGATATTTATTTATATTGATACTAAAGGCCTGGTGCATGAAATTTGTGCACAGGTATGGTCCGTAGTCCTGGCTGGTGATCAGGGCCTTCTGGCTGCCAACTGAGGCCTTCCTTCCAGCTGCTGGCTGCCAGCTGGGCCTTCTTTCATTCTGTGTTGCCCCCTGGTGGTCAGCACATGTCATAGCAAGTGATCCAACTCCCAGTCTCCTGGTTGAACTCCCGAGGGGACACTATGTACATTAGCCTTTTATATCTATAGATATTGATTAATATGAAATTTATTTTTCTTTTGATGGGTATAAACAGACCTCTTGAGTATATTCAGCAGTGTGGATTATGTTGCCTTCAAGATACTGACAATTTCCCCAAGTGGTCCATATTAAAAAAAATAATAATTTAAAAAAAATATATATATATATTATTGATTACAGAGAGGAAGAAAGAGAGAGAGAGAAACATCAATGATGTGAGAGAATCATTGGTTGGCTACCTCCTGCACACACCACACTGGGGGTGGAGCCCACAACCTGGACATGTGCCCTGACCAGGGATCGAACCATGACCTCCTGGTTCATAGGTTGATGTTTAAGCACTGAGCCATGCCGGCCGGGCCATCTTTTTTATTTTAGCTCTTCTTGTGGACCTGGACACTGTTTCTAGTGACTGGATAGTGTGCCACTCTACAAGTGTTCTGTTGATGAATTTAAGCAACATCTTATTGATAAAGCATTTGGATTGTTTTCAGTTTTTAGTTTTCTAACGAATACAGCGATGAACATTCTGGAACACCCTTCTTCATGCATTTGTAACTGACCCCCTAGCAATCACCTTTTTGGTTATTTCCAGTTGTTTTGTTGTTACATACAAAATAACACCAGAATACGCTTTCTTGTACATCCATCTGTGTGGACTTAAAAGTGTTGGGTTTCCTTGACATTTTAATTTTTAACTTTTGCTTTTAACATCTCTTACATTGGTCTTGAGCACAGAGCCAGCCCAGGGCAGTGTTGCTGCACGTTGCATGGGATGAAGGGTGAAGGCTGATTACTCTTGCAAGCTGACTTCTGAGATTGTACCTTCTCTTCCTGCTCCTCCTCCAACTCTGTGATCCTCTAAGGTATGAAGATGGCTGGGCAAGGGTCAGACTGGTCCAACCAGAGTGGAGGGTGGCAGGGGGAGGGACTTCAGCCAGACAGGCTCCAGGTTATGTATCAGGATTGCTTGACAGCATCCCAGTCCTCTCTGCAACAGGTACTTCTGAAAACCACAGTCATTTCCTCATTCTTCCTTCTACCCATCCTTCCATCTGCCATGAATCTATCCATCATCTGTCAGTCATGCACCATTCATTCACAGATCCATTAATCGGTCCACCAATACCTTAAACTCTCTCCATTCACACACTCATTTATCTACTCAGATTTTACCTATCCATCCACAAATCCATATCTCTATCTTTCCATCCATTCCTCACTCCCTCTACCCACCCATCTATCCCTCCATCCAAATATCTAACCATCTATTTACCCATCCATCCACCCAGTCACCCATTTACAAACTCACCTATCCATCCACCCATCTATTCATCCATCCATCCATCCACCATCCATATACTCATCCTTCTACCTAGCCATATACCCCTCCATGTGTCCATTTCTTTAAAAAAAATTTTTTTTTTCCAAATTGATTTCAAAGCGAGAATCATTGATTGGCTGCCTCCTGCACACCTCCTACTGGGGATCAGGCTCACAACCTGGGCCTGTGCCCTTGACCGGAATCAAACTCAGGACCCTTCAGTCCGTAGGCCGATGCTCTATTCACTGAGCCAAACCGGCTAGGATGTCCATTTCTGTTTGTATTGATCTTCTCATAAATTCATCAACTTCATTTATGCATCCATCCTTTCATCCAACCTTTTAACTATCCCTCCAACTGACCTACCATTTATTCACCCACAGATGTATTTACCCATTCAGTATTAAGTCATGCATTCGTCTATTCATTCGACTTCCAATCCACTCACCCACTCACTTATTAGTCAAGTTAGTCACTCACCCAACACCTACCCATTCACATCCTGAAACCAGACCCTATGACTGCGATGGGGACACAGGCGTGACTCAGACCTGTTTCTTGCCCTCTAGGAATTGATAGTCAATTGGGAGAGGGAAATAACAATACACACACACACACAGGAAATTCTCAAAATAGTGTGATCAGTGCTGTGCTCACAGAATGTTCCAGCTTCAGGTGGCCAGGGGGCCAGGATGGAGAGGGCTGCAATGGGCAGGAGGAAGATTACAAGGTACCAGGGACAGGATGAAGGTCCCGGGGCAAGCGCTTGCTCCAGCCAGGACCCCTCTTGTCTGCACAACTCCACTCTCTGACTACCTCCCTGCCACCCCACAGGCAGAGTTGATCCACCTAGGAACCAAGACAATGCCACAAGCAACATGGTTACAGTCTTCGCTTAGCGGGCAGCGCTCCCACCATGCCCAGCCCACCCCCAGTTACCAAGGCAAAGCAGGGACACCTCCTGCCTCCAGGAAGACCCTCCTGCAACAGCCTGACAAGGCCAAGGGGGCACCTCACCACATCCCACGCCTCCGGGCTGTGGTCGAGAGCCAGGCCTTCAAGAACATCCTGGTGGATGAGATGGACATGATGGAGTCTCGTGCAGCCACCCTCATCCAAGCCAACTGGAGGGGCCACCAGCTCCGGAGGAAGCTGACCACCCACATACTGGCGGCTAAAGGCGTCCACGCGGCCTGGCGGCGCTTCAATACCAAACGCCGCCTCCGGTATGGCAAGGCAGCGGAGAAAAAATCGAAAGTGGACGAGGAGAACATCCCTTACCACCCCCCTCAGCTGGTGCGGTTCCAGCATGCAGAAGAAGACAGGTATCTTCTGGCCCCACCTGTCATGGTGAATAAGGAGACCCAGTTCCCTTCTGATGACAGCTTGGCTGCCTGTGCCCTCCAGCTGGCGCTGCTGCAGCCCCCAGGCGAACCACGGCCCGACGCGCAGGCTACTGGTGCCACCGGAGGCCCTACCGCCACTTTCCTGCCACACCAGACTTCCCTCAGACTTCCGTGTCCTGTGGGTCTGAATGCAAAGTACCATCCCTGTCTGCTGACCAGAACCGTCAGAAGTACCAGCCTTAGCCACTCAGAAGGGGACTGGACGAAGACCAAGAAAGTGACTGGCAGAGCCAGCAAGGCAGGAGCCCTCGGGCTACCCTGTGAAAGGATTGCCCAGACGCTTCACGCCCCCCTCAAGACCCAGGCGCAGGCCCAGGTGGAAATAGAGGTCCTCAGAGCCCCACCCCAGGCAGGCCAAGCATCTTCGACGACCAAGACTCCACTCCATTCGTGCTTGGCCTCCACAATGCACAAACCCGCAGCCCAGCACTGCCCAAGGCCCAGGGTAACAATAGCCAAGACCCCACCTCAGCTGGACTCAGCCGGCCCCGTGGCCAAGACCACATTCCAGTCATGCCTGGCAGCAATCTTGAACAAGATCCCAGCCCAGCCGCGCCCAATATCCACAACGGCAACGAAGACCCCGCCCCAGCCGAGCCCGGCAGCCCCGATGACCAAGACCCCAGCTCAGATGCGACCAACGGCCTTGAGACAACCGGCTGCCATGACCTCAGTTATCAAGCCCCCGGCACAGACCTGCCCGGTGCCTGTGATGGCCAAGCCCCCGCTGCCCCTGATGTGCCCAACAGTCCCGATAGCCAAGTCCCTCCTGCAGACATGTCCGGGGGCTGCGACAGCCAAGACCCCATCTCAGACGCTCCCAGGAGACTCGGTGACCCAGACCCCATCTCAGACGCTCCCAGGAGACTCGGTGACCCAGACCCCATCTCAGACGCTCCCAGGAGACTCAGTGACCCAGACCCCTACCCAGACACGTCTGGCAGCCATGATCATCAAGACGCCGGCCCAGTTACGCTCCGTGGCCACCGTCATCAGGAACCTCTGCCTGTCTCCTCCTGCAGATGGAAATCTGGACGCTTCGCCTCCAGCAGCCGTGGGGGATGGGATTCCCAATACCCCGTCGTCACATACTGACCTGAACAGACTGAAGGCCAAGGCTGTGGTGACCGGGAGGCAGATGGCAGGCTCGGGCCAAGTCTCGTCCCATTCACACTTGGCTGAGGGAAAGGTGAAATTCTGCCCCCCACCACATCTGGGGGCTGGGGCTCCCAAGGCTCCATCTAGGCCTTTTGAGGAAGCCGAGAAAATCAAGGCCTTCTTCTCCCAGAAGCAGGTGAAAATGACAGCCACGTCTAACACCAGCGTGGCCAAGGTCTTATCGCAGGAACAGCTGAGAGCAGATGTCCCGAAGGTTCGGTCCCAGGGCTGTGCGCCGGTAGAGATGGCGGTGGTTCTCCCCCAAGCACAGCGGGGCCCGTGCCCAGCCAAGCCCCTGCTCCAAGCACAGAAGGCCACCTGTCCCACCACAGCCTCGCCCCAGAGACATATGCTGGCAAGGCAGATGAGGCCCCCGCCCCAGGCAAACATCGCCAGGTGTCTGTCCAAGCCCCCATCCCAGGTACATCCACCTGCCAAGCTAACCCCAGCCCCGACCCTGGCCCATCCGGGCACATGTCTGGCCAAGACGCAGTCCCCGGCACCTGTGACCACAGAAGTGATAAAGGTCCAGTCTCAAGCACATCCGCCTGCGAGGCTGACCAAGGCGCATTCCCAAGCCCAGCTGGCCACAGAAACAGCCAAGTGCCTCTGTTCTGCCCGCCAGGCAGCCGAGCTCGGTAGCAAGACTCGGTCCCAGCCACTCCTGGCTGGGTTCAAGGCCTCCACCCAGCCCTGTCAACACGTCGGCTCTCTTTGCACTTTGTCCCGAGCAAAGCCAGAGGACAGATTAACCCAGCTCCCAGCCCATGGCTGTGCCCAGGACAAAGCCACCAAGAGCCCATGCCAGGGGGCCTCCAAGACCCAGACCATGCTGGTGCCTCGGCTGGTGTCCATTGGACCTTCCACATGCAACGTCGAGTCCTGGGGTGACAGCCGGGCCCCCCTGGCCCAGCCATTGACCACAAGCCCAGCCGCGCCCTGCCAGGAGGAGCTGGGGGCCGCCCAGCTGGCCTCACTGTGTGCTGAGCTGGCCGCCACGCTGGGCTCCCAGGAGGACATCCGTGCTCTGCTGGCGAAAGCTCTCCCCCGGGGGGAAGCAAGGGCGGCGCTGAACCAGGCCCTGCTGTCCAAAGAGGTCCTGGGCACCACAATGGCCAAGGCCCTGCCCCCGGGCATGCTGGGCACAGCACTGGTGAAGGCTCTGTCCTGGGGCGAGCTGGGCACGGCCCTGTCCCGTGCCCTTTCCCAGGGGGAGCTGCGGGCAGAACTCACGAAGGCCATCCAGAACACGCTGGTGGAGGTGCTCAGCAAGGTCCTGACGGAGCAAGACCGGGCTGCTCTGAGCCAGGCGGTGTGCCAGGGGGAGCTGGGCACCGTCCTGAGCCAGTCCTTGTCTCAGGCGGCCCTCCAGACTGAACTCGTCCTCCCAAGGGCCGCCTCGAAAACAATGGGAAGTGGGATGACTGTGACGCCAGTCCCGGTGAAGGTGGACTCCAGGAGGAGCGGGCCAGCTGCATGGGGGCCCACCATGGGCCGTGTGAGGCCACAGCCCAGCAAGGTCAGGGGTCCCCAGGGTGGGGCCTGGGAGGGCTGTTGGAGGAGATGGGGGATGGGCCACGGTCAGGAGGTCACCCTGCTTGTCCGGGTGCCTCCTTGGTCACCAGGTTGCCCATCACCGTTCTCCAGTTCCCCTGACTGCAGTTTTGGACCCCACTCTGTCATGGGATAAGGGAGACACCTCCGTGCACCCAGGGGCGGGCGAATCGCCATCAGCTCTCCACTCAGGGTGAGTGATGCAGGCCCGTTTGCCTGAGCCGCTCCCCCTGCAGCCACCCCGCCATCTGTGGCAGCCACTAGTTGCCAGTGGCGTGGCCCCAAACTCCCACAAACCACATGTGGCCAGCACGATGACCCCATGTCTGTCAGCATCCCTGGAGGAGGACAGGGTGGCCCCAGGCAAGCTTGCCAGCACTGTGGGTGGTGGGATAACCATCCACTCCCACCAGTTTGTCACCACCTATGGGGGGGGTGCTTATTGGTGTCAGCCATTCGGGGTCACCAGCGGGGACACCAGCCATCAGCGCCAAAAGTCTGCAAGAATCACGGTCCCTGCGGAGACCATGCAGAGGACTCAGTCCCCAAGTCAGACACAGGCCCTTGTGGGCCCGAGTGAGATGACCAACAAGGTGGCCTCTGGTCTCCCGAGGGTCACCAGTGAGCAAAGTCTCCTAACTCAACCACAGACCCCCCCAAGGCACCCAAACACAACAGAGCATCCTGCTGCCTGGCTCCATGGCTCCTGGTCACCTCTGGGCATTCGAAAGTCAGGGAAGCGTCCCCAGAAAGCCAGTTAATGCCCTCCCTTCCCCATACATCCATTCGAGAATTGAACATGGGGTATCAATCCTGGCACGTGTTGCCCATGGGAGCTATATACTCAGTGAACTGTTTGCCACAGGGCTCAGACAATGACCTTGACCTGGCCAGAAGCTCCTCCAAGGGTTCTGCAGGCTGTGGCCCAAGTTCGAGCAGGTCCCAGAGCTGTCTGTGCCGCTGTAGCCCACTCAGTCTTTGTACCCTGACTGTGGCCAGCCTGACTGTTGTCGACTTGGCAGAGGAGTCCTGGGAGGCCAGCTCAGAGAGAGGACTTCCTCTCTGGGGAGACCATGGGGAGGTCCCAGAGGCCTGGGGACCTGGGAGAGATGGAGAGAGTGGGTCATGGGTACATGGCCCCAAACCTCCACCACTCACCCTTCCTGGCCTCAGAGCTGATCCCCATTCTGTACCACAGCTCAGTGTCCAGTCATATGACCTTGAGCATCCACTGGAGCTCTTGAGGACAAGAGGTATATGTCCTCAAGCCAAAACTCTCTGAGTCCAAAAGATAGCTTGTGCCAGAATCCCTACAGGACAGGACTGTCTGTGGGTCATGTGGTCCCTCTGAGCAGCAGCCATCTTTGATGAGTAAATTGATCCCAAGCCCATCCTAGCCATCAGTAACCAGTAAGGTGGCTCCAAACCCAGGCCAGCTTTCTATGGCCAGTAAGCTCCCCACAGCCTATCTGAGCCTTCTAGGCCAGCCATCTAAGGGTAAGCCCCAGCCTAGCACAGCATCTATGACCAGTGGAGTGGCCCCTAGCCCAGTGCTCGGCAAACTGCGGCTTGTGAGCCACATTTGGCTCTTTGGCCCTGTGAGTGTGGCTCTTCCACAAAATACCAATACTGGGCGAATCTATTTTGAAGAAGTGGCATTAGACATTTAAGTATAAAAAATCTGGCTCTCAAAAGAAGTTTCAATCGTTGTTCTGTTGATATTTGGCTCTGCTGACTAATGAATTTGCCGACCACTGCCCTAGCCTAACCCATGCAACTATGGGCAATAGTGTGGCCCCCAGCCTAGGCCAACCATCTGTGATGAGTAGTAAGGGTTATGCAATCACTGTTACTTTGGGCCCCGAGGTGAGTTCAGATCTCCTGTCCAGAGTGAATGCAGTGGCCCCTCGTCTGTCATCCATCCTTGCTGGCTGAAGTCACCTGGAATACAACACATCTGTCTGGGCTAGGGGCATGGCTGGGGGCTGAGCCAGCCATCTCTGGCCACTGGGGTGAATCCATGTCAATATCTTCTGATGGGTCATGGGATGACCTCATAGGTCCAGGCCCCTGAATTCAGAGAAGTGTCCCCTGGGTTTCATCAGCCACTCGGTCTTGGTGGGAGGTACCAAACAGAATATTCTTGTCACTGTTTCAGCCCCAAACCTCTACCCGGCAGCTGTGACGCATGGAGGGGTTTCTTGCCTAGGCCGGGAACCAGCTGTCAGGCATTCTATTCGGGATTCTGGCTACAAGCACGTGTCAGGGCAGTGGCTGCTGGTATGCTCTCAAATGTGTCTTGGGACCCTGGATACTGAAAAGTTCCTAAATATGACTCAAGGACCTGTGTCTCCCGGTGTGACAAGGAGTATGTGCCGGAGAAGCGTGGCAACTGCTGTGGGCCCAAGGCCATCTCAGATCAGCAGTGGCACGGCTCCCATGGCATTCTGGGCCTCTGTGGCAGGTACCCCTTTGGCTCATGAACAAGCTTCAAGGGGGGGTGGGGGCAGGGTTGGCTGCTCTCGGGCTTTTGTGGCCACAAGGTCTGAGTACGTCCAGATTTCCCCTGGCCAATGTGGGCTCCAGCACAGGTCAGGTCAATGCTGATCCATGTGGGCCACCAGTGCCTTATGTCCACAGTCACCACATCCAGTTATCAACAATCAAATGCTTCCAGCCAGGAGCCGAGATGGGCATGGCCAGTCTCAGTGCCGGGTTCTGTAGCCAATAGGATGAGCACAGCGGTGGCCCCAGGTACTGAGGTTCGTGGCAAGACCTTCAGCTTTCCCACAGGGTCTGAGATCCACTGTGTGGCCCCAGCCTTCCACTAGGTTACGTGGCTAATTACGTGGCCCAAGCCCTTCAGCCATGATCCGTGATCAGCTGCCTGCCTAGGCCAGGACCTCCAATGCCATGGTCCACAGCCCTTCTCCAGGCTCTGTCATCGGTGGTGTGGCCCAGAGTCTCCTCCAGTGTTTGCGGCCAGTGACATGGCCAGGACCCTACCCCCAGGTTCTGTGGTGAATAGAGTGCCCCCAGACCGATTACCGCACCTGGTGCAGGCAGTCTCTCTGTAAGACCCTGTACTAGTAACCTCTCCAAGACTGCCCTAGGTTCAGGGGTGAGTGGGGTGGGCCTAAGTGTCTGTCTCTTCTGGTTCTGTGGCCTCTAGTGTGGTCGCAGAACTTATGACTGGGGGACTGAGTCAGAGCCTGGTCTGAGGTCCATGGCCTGCGAGGCTAGTCCACCCTCCACAGTCAGAAGCGTAACTCACAGCCTTCCCCAGGGGTCCAGACTCCATGGACTCACCGCCCATCCTTACCATGGTCTCAAGCCCTGCCCCAGGCCTAAGAATCCAGTGGCAGAGCCAGAGGAGAGTACCAAGAGCCCATGGCAGAGCCTCTGTCGAGCCACATTCATGGGACAACAGCCTTGGAGACCAGAGATGGCCAGGCCCTGGACGAGGCTCTCTCCCAGAAGTCCTGTTTCGTAGGGAGTCCATGGGCCTTGAGGCAACCCCATGGATGTCTGAGAATCCCCTGTCACCTGATGTGGACTCCGACCGTGACTTCCTGGCAGAGGACAAGACTCCAAAGGCCAAAAGCGGTCGGAGGAGGGGCAGCTCCCAGCTGAGCCGGGGCTGTGATGATGGCGTCACCCCGTCCTTCCCCAGCCTCCAGGTTTTGCACACCGGGGCCAGCAGGGTCACCCGAACTCTGCAGCAGAAGCCAGCCACCAGGGGGAGGGCTCCTAGCTCCCACTTTGTGACTTCTCATGGGGTCTCCAGTGTGCAAATGGACACAGGGCCCCCTGAGCTCACAGGCGTCAGTGGCTCACCTTGTCCCTCAGAGCCTCGGCTGCTCACATGTCTGGGAGCCATTCCTATGGGATGGTGGCTTCCACAGTAACATCGGGGTCACCCACACTGGCTCACGACAGGACTGTGGCATCTAGTTTGCATATGAGGTCTGCGTCTGGGATAGGGGGGATCTCGAACCCTTCCCGGAGGTCAGGGGCCACCCATGTGGCCTCACGTGGGCTGCCGTATAGTCTAAGGCCAGTGGGGTGGCGTCCAGTGGGTGCCAGTGCATTTGGAAGCCAGTATCTGGGAACCTGGCTCAGAGCAGCCACCGTGACCTCCTTGGCTAGAGAACGCTACACGTCCTTGCATAGTAGCGCTGCCTCCGGAATGCTAGATGGCTCTGTGGCCAAGGCTGAGGCCTCCCAGGAGGCGGCGGAGCATGCCTCCAGGGCCCTCAGGGAGGCCCCAAAGGTTCCAGGGGTACGCTGCCGGCCATAACGCCAACGATCCTTACTGCTGTCTGGCCACGACATGGCCATCCCTGGGTTGCCCGGCGGCGGGGTTCGCAGGGGGCTTCTGGGTGATAAATCTTCACCAAGTGGTTCCTGGCGGTCCCCTTTTTAACCGGGAGTCGCTCGGGGGACCCCGTGGCTCCTGTGCGCGGTCATGGGGCACCTCTGACTTCCGCTTTACTCCAGGTCTCCATGGACCCCGCCATGGCTGGCGGCCCAACATGGAACGGCGCCATCCCCAGCGCTGCCGTGGAGCCCGTGAAGGGGGGGGACAAGACCCCCTGCGGCGCCAGGAAGCCGCCCCGGTGCGACGAGCCGCGGGATGCCATGGGCCTGGAGGCGCTGGTGGACCCCCGGCGGCTGGGGTTGCTGGTGACGTCTGTGCGCACCATGGAGATGATCATCCTGCAGGCCGCCGTGGTCATCCAGGCGTGCGCGCGCGGCTACCTGGTGCGCCGCACGATCAGGGTGTGGCACCAGTGGGCGGCGGTCATCCAGGCCGCCTGGCGCGGCTACTGCGCGCGCCGGGACCTGGCGCGGCTCCTCAAGGCGGCCATCACCATCCAGGCCTCGTGGCGAGGCCTGAGCGCCCGCCGGCACCGGAAGCGCCTGGCCCAGCTCGTGCCGCTCCTCCGCTCCAGGGCGGAAGTGAGCGTCAGGACCACGCCCACTTCCGGCCACCGCTGCTTCCAGGCCTGCCAGCCCCGCGCCTGCGCCTTCTGCCAGTCGCTGAGCACCAGGCTGGGCAGCGTGCCCAGCGCCGTGATGCTCGTAGGTGCCAGCCCCCGCACGTGTCACACGTGCGGCTACACCCTGCCCACGAGGGTGGTGAAGGGCACGGGCCGGGGCACCGCGGACCAGGGGGCCGCGCGGTGGGGCCAGGACACCCAGCTGAGCACCCAGAGCGCTAGGCTGACCCCGAGCCAGATGAAGGCGGCCACGCTCATCCAGGCCATCTGGAGGGGCTTCGTCGTGCGCCGCCGGCTGATGAGGGAGCAGGTGGCCGCCAAGATACTCCAGGCCACATGGCGGGGCCACTACACGCGGTCCTCCCTCACCACGGACGCGCTTCTGAGGCCAGCGGCGCGGGACGGCCCACAGGACGCGCAGTGGCCAGGAGTCTAGCACCCTGACGGCCCGACGGGGGACATCGGGGCGATGCCATGTGGCGCTCTCGGTCTAATGAATAAAGTGCTCCACAGCCTGGGTCTTGGTCTACCTACGCTCCTAGGAGTATCATGGGCATGGGGGGGTGGGGGGGTGGCAGGGAGTGAGGGAATCTGGAACACTCCGGACTGGAGGGACCCTAAAACTTTCAACCACGTCGTGGGCTCCCAGGGTCTGTGTCTGGGAGAGGGACCCAAGCCTTCTCGGAGGTCAGGGGCCTCCATATGGCCGTAGGATCTGTCCATGACAGTGGGGCGGTGTCCCTGACACACTCCAGAAGCCAGTGTCTGGGCCCTGGGCCCTCGGCCTGGGAACCCTCTGGGTGCATACATGGTGCCTTATTCAGGAAATGCCAGCGGTTTTCGGCCAGGGACTGATCTGGGGGGATGCTGGGCTCAACCGCAAGGGGCTCCAGTCTGGGTGAGAGAGAGCTGAACACAGATGTTCCCAGCCTGTGAGGTCAGGGACAGGGCAGGGAGCAGGGAGGGGGCTACAGGCACCCAGAGGGGGCAGCCTGCTTGAAGGAGTGGCAAAGGGATGGCAGCATGGGTTCAGGCAGCTATGGAAGGGGCCACAGAGCGGGTGGGGCTGCTGCGGGGAGGGGAATGGAAAGGAGGGGGATCCTGCAGTGATGTGCAGAATTTGAGGGCTTCTGGGTCATGGTTCAGGCGGAATTTTTAGATGAAGGGGGGTGTCCAGGTGGAGGGGGGCAGGTATGGCGGCCCTGGCCAACGGTGGCACCCATAGACCCTGTGTCCTGAGGCCCCCCCCCCCCTTCCCCGGGGACAGGTGTAAAAAGCAGCCCCTGGCCACGCACCTGACCACACATCACACCTGTGCAGAGCCCGCCCTCCACCCTCCCACGCAGGAAGGGCAGCTCCCGGCTGCTGCTGCGGACACCCCTACAGGTAAGAGCAGGTAAGGAAAAAGATTGGCCTCTAGAAAGCTGGGGTGGGGGGAATGGAGGGCCATACTGCCAGCATACACCTGGGGGGGGGGGGGAATGGAGGGCCATACTGCCAGCATACACCTGGGGGGGGGAATGGAGGGCCATACTGCCAGCATACACCGGGGGGGGGGGAATGGAGGGCCATACTGCCAGCATACACCTGGGGGGGGGGAATGGAGGGCCATACTGCCACCACACACCTGGGGGGGGGGGAATGGAGGGCCATACTGCCAGCATACACCTGGGGGGGGGAATGGAGGGCCATACTGCCAGCATACACCTGGGGGGGGGGAATGGAGGGCCATACTGCCAGCATACACCTGGGGGGGGGAATGGAGGGCCATACTGCCAGCATACACCTGGGGGGGGGGAATGGAGGGCCATACTGCCAGCATACACCTGGGGGGGGGGAATGGGGGGCCATACTGCCAGCATACACCTGGGGGGGGGGGAATGGAGGGCCATACTGCCAGCATACACCTGGGGGGGGGGGAATGGAGGGCCATCCTGCCAGCATACACCTGGGGGGGGGAATGGAGGGCCATACTGCCAGCATACACCTGGGGGGGGGGAATGGAGGGCCATACTGCCAGCATACACCTGGGGGGGGGGAATGGAGGGCCATACTGCCAGCATACACCTGGGGGGGGGGGAATGGAGGGCCATACTGCCAGCATACACCTGGGGGGGGGGAATGGAGGGCCATACTGCCAGCATACACCTGGGGGGGGGGAATGGAGGGCCATACTGCCAGCATACACCTGGGGGGGGGGAATGGAGGGCCATACTGCCAGCATACACCTGGGGTCCGGCCCTCTCCTCAGGCCAGGCTGGTCTGCCAGGCGCCCGCCCCCAGAAGGGCTCCTTCCCCCCTCCCCGAAGCAAGGTGGGGGTCATGAGAACAGCAGCAGCACCCCCACCCCTCCACCGCCCCACTCTACCCTGAGGATGCCACTTCTGCAACCCCAGCCTGGCCTGAGCCAGTAAGAAGCTGTGGCTGCCTCGTACCCAGTTTGAGGTTCCATTTTAAAGCTGCTCCTGTTCGCCAGCCCCCGAGGGAAGGAGGACACAGGGCCATGGGAAGGGGGACGGGCTCATTTCCTGTTCCCTAAGCATCCATGCTCCCAGGAGAAGCTCCTGGTGCCCGCTTGTCTGACTGTCCCCAGGATGCAGAACTGAACTTCTTAGTAAGGTTTATTTTATCGGTGACATACACTGTTACGTTAGTTTCAGGTGTGCAACAGTGATTCCACTGGAGTTGGACTCTTGCATTGCCTTCTCTCCCACCAAACCGTCACTGTCTGACCTGTGCACCTGCCCGGACCGGTAATATCAGAGTGGAGGCCACCACCCATATGGCGCTTCTGGCAGGCCAGGGCTTCTCTCGGAAAGCACCTTCTTTATCCCCATCTATAGCTCAGGAAACTGAGGCTGTGCAAGCCCCCAGCTGTGCCTGAGCTGGCTTAGAACCAGTTGACTTGGCCCGTGCTGGCCTCCTGGCCTAGGCCTCATGGCCCAGGACATAGAAATAGCCCTCCGCCCTGGCTGGGTGGCTCAGTTGGTCAGAGTGTAGTCCCATATGCCAAGGTTGTGTGTTCGATCCCTGGTCAGGGCACATACAAGAATCAACCAGTGCCGAAACCGGTTTGGCTCAGTGGATAGAGCGTCGACCTGCAAACTGAAAGGTCCCAGGTTCGATTCCGGTCAAGGGCACGTACCTTGGTTGCAGGCACATCCCCAGTGGGGGTGTGCAGGAGGCAGCTGGTAGATGTATCTCTCTCATCGACATTTCTAACTCTCTATCCCTTTCAATTCCTCTCTGTGTAAAAATCGATAAAACATTAAAAAGAAAAAAAAAGAAAAAAAAGAATCAACCAGTGAATGTATAAATGAATTGAACAACAAATCTCTCTCTCCAATAAAAATAAAAACCAAAACAACAGACAAACTTCCTAAAAATAAAAATAAACCTTCTTTACCTCTTTTTTTTTTTTAACATATATTTTATTGTTTTTTTACAGAGAGGAAGGGAGAGGGTTAGAAACATCAATGAAAGAGAAACATCGACCAGCTGCCTCCTGCACACCCCCATGCCCTTGACCGGAATCAAACCCGGGACCCTTCAGTCCGAAGGCCAACGCTCTATCCACTGAGCCAAACCGGCCTCGGCCCTCTTTACCTCTTGTCCGCTCTCCAGTAGCTCATGAGCTCCTGCCTGCTCTGTGCCAGGTGCTCAGCAGAGCTTGTGTCCTCCACTTCCTCCTCTTTCAAGAATCACTAGTTTTCCTCCGTTCACTTTAAATTTTTTAAAAAATATGTTTTTATTGATTTCAGAGAGAGGAAGGAAGAGGAAGAGATAGAAACATCAATGATGAGTGAGAATCATCCCTCAGCTGCCTCCTGCATGCCCCCTACTGGTGATTAAGCCAGCAACCCCAGGCATGTGCCCTGACAAGGAATGGAACTGTGACCTCCTGGTTCATCGGTCAATACTCAACCACTGAGCCGCACTGGCTGGGCTTCCTCAGTGCACTTTAAAAGTTCAGCTCCGAAGCCCTAACTGGTTTGGCTCAGTGGATAGAGCGTTGGCTTGCTGACTGAAGGATCCCAGGTTTGATTCCCGGTCAAGGGCATGTACCTTGGTTGTGGGCACATCTCAGTGGGGAGTGTGCAGGAGGCAGTTAGCCAATGTTTTTCTCTCATCGATGTTTCTGACTATCTCTCTCCCTTCCTCTCTGTAAAAAATCAATAAAATAAAATTTTAAAAGTTCCCCCGAGTTCCACTGTGGCTCCTGAGCCACCCTCATTTCAGCAAAAAAACTCATCCTCTGGATTCTTCCTCAAATGGTGAGAGGTAGTTTGGAAGGCTGGCCTTTTAGTCCTTGACTCCTTGGAGGACCTTGAGGGACCCTCTTCCCACCTTCCTAGTTGCCTCGGGCCTCAGTTTTTCCCATCTGTAAAATGGGGACAAAGTCCGGCCAGGGCACAATCCCTCTCCTTGGCTCAGCTGCCATCCCCACAGGGCCTGGAGACTGGACTGAGAAAAGTGGGTCTGTGTGTGGACCCAGGCCCCTCTGGAGCCTCGTACTGAATGTTACCTCCACACTCCTGCCAGCCGGGCGGTAAGAGAGGAAGCACAAAGGTCCACTGGGGCAGCGTGGACAGGGTCGGTGAGTGAACTTGTAAGCAGCTAAGGTGCGCAGCAGCCTGGAACTGGGAGGGAAGTAACTGTAGGAGGTGGCCCATGAAATATTTACCTGCCCTCAGCCTGGCCCAGGGCTCCGTGCCTGGAGGGTCAGGAGCCAGGAGCAGCTGGAACAAGGATGGGGGCGGAGTTTTTCAGAGCTTTGATCCCCCGACTATTCCCAGAGCCCAGGCCTCTCCCCACTCCCCATTAGGACTCTGATGCTGACACAATGGAGCACTGATCTATGAACCAGGGACCACGGTTCAATTCCCAGTCAGGGCACATGCCCAGGTTGTGAGCTCGATCCCCAGTAAGGGGCATGCAGGAGGCAGCTGATCAACGATTTTCTCTCATCATTTCTCTCTCTCTCTCTCTCTCTCTCTCTCTCTGAAATCAATAAAAATAAATTTAAGTGAAACAACAAAAAACTGAGTTTGGCCGTGAGGACCTTCCAGGTCCTGCAGAAGATTAGGGCTGATCCTCTCTGAGGGCTCTGAGGGTCTGTGCGCCCACATGCGCAGACCTGTGTGACTCTGAGGGGCTGCCTACCGGAGCTGTCCCTTTCACAGACAAAAACCCCTTTGAGTCCCAGGAGATTTGAAAGGGTCACCCAAGCCAAGGCTGGTTTGGCTCAGTGGATAGAGCGTCAGTCTGCGGATTGAAGGGTCCCAGGTTCTATTCCAGTCAAGGGCCTGTACCTTGGTTGCAGGCACATCCCCGGTGGGAGGTAACCCCCACCCCAATTCTGGCTCTCCAGCTCCGCGCTCACCCCACCTCCCACTCCTGCCACCTGAGTGAGTTCCACTTCCTGGACCCTGCACTCGAGCCCCACTTCCAGGGGGCTCTGTGCTTCTGGGCAGTTTGCGGGGAGTGGGGGGCAGCTGATCGATGTTTCTCTCTCATCG